AGAGACGAGTGCTGCTTCACCACTTCTACAGCCCTCTTTGTGAATTCGGCATGAGGGACGATCTAACGTAGAAACAAGGCATAAGTTGGAGTTCGAACAAAACATAACATTTCATTGACCTCATTGACCAAACCTCGGTCAAAAGCCTGCTGTGCCGTAAGTTTCTTATTTAACGTCAACACCTAAATGTACCATCGATAAGCAGAGATGGATGTTGCATAAGGGTATTTTACTTCAGACGCTCTCAGCTGACCCATTAAGAGAGGAAATGTGTACGACGATGCTCCTTCTGGAGATTGCCCAAGTGTAGCAAACGGAGTATGGAATGTACACTGAAATTCAAGATCGTAAAAAAGTACACTAACTAGTCCTACCCCATATGAATACCTTATCGGTGGCCAAGACATAATCAAAAAGCGGAAGTACGGTGACGGCTATTCCAATAGCTGGCCCATTAATTAGACATAGGAGTGGCTTCTCATGATCAATATATGCCTAAACATTTATAGCCTATTGACCAAGTACAAACTCGATACAAAATTGGAATATGCAGTAGTTGTATGTCGGAAATTGCGCAAATAAGAATTGCCAACCGAAATTGTCTCATTATTCTAATGACGAGTTCTTCGTCGCAGACAAATGTTTTTTCGCAAGTACAAAGAGAAGTTTTCGGAACATTTTGAAGCCTCCACTGTTATGACCACACCGATACAATAAAATAAGTTACATATAATAAAGTTAGCTGTGTTACATATAATAAATCTAAGATAATTTCAACGAAAGACATTTAAATATCCAAAAGACGAATTTGAAGAAAAAACAAAAGCATAGATAAAGCGCATAAACCTGCCTATATGCTTACAAATGCTTGCTGCCGGCAGCCCCAAATGAGTAAGTTTGGACGTTAAAAGTTGACTTGCCTGGATATAGTCTTTCAAGACCACAGCCGCTGTTTCAGCCATCTCCTTTATTTCAGCTTTGCTAGCAGATGCTGCTTTTGCAAAGTTGCTAAGATCATTTCCGGAACAAAAAAAGTCACCAGTTCCTAAACTATGTTGAAAATGAAACCTTATTCCAAAAGCACAAGACTTCTGGAAGAAATATTTCAGGCGCTCAAATGCAATAGAAAAAGATGATGGTAATGTGCGAAACTGAGTAATGATACCTGTTATTACTGTGACAGAAGTCGAGCTGTCGCTATTCGACGCTTTAAGAGCGGCTTCAATGCCCTTATACATATCCACTGTGAGCGCATTGAACTTCTGTGGACGATTGAGCCTGATTGTAAAGGCCTTGCCATCGACAGAGATCTGAAGCGAATTGGGGGTGATGAACCAATGATCCTCATTCAGCATTAAAAAAATCTCAGGAAAACATGCACTCTCACAGTTGAGCGGAAAAAAAATAAGTTCAAAGAAGGTTTCAATATTGACTGTAAGGTAAGTTTCTATACTGGTACTAGAGAGGGTAGCCAAAGTGTCCAATTTTACGCAGCTTAGGAAGGATAGTTCACAGCTGCAGGAACTAGGAATAAAAAAATATGTGAA